TCTGTCTGTCTGTCTGTCTGTCTGTCTGTCTGTCTGTCTGTCTGTCTATTTATCTAATTTCCTATTATCTGCTGTTTGGGGGGGGGGCTTGGAACCAATCCTCAGCAGATACTGTATTGGGAAAAAATGCTGGACTAGATGGTGCGAAATGTCTTAAAGCAGCCAGCTAAGGACAAGTCTTAGGTTTAATCTATCTATCTATCTATCTATCTATCTATCTATCTATCTATCTATCTATCTATCTATTTATTTCCCTATTATCTGCTGTTGGGGGGGGGGTTGGAACCAATCCTCAGCAGATATGGAATTCATGCTATATTGGGGGAAAATGCTGGACTAGATGGTGCGAAATGTCTTAAAACAGCCAGCTAAGGACAAGTCTTAGGTTTAATCCACATAGGCCCTATTGGAATAGCTTGTCCCTGTTTTGATGGATGGTTATATGGAAAATTCACCAGGCCCACAGCGATAGCGCTCTTATCACATATTTGAGTCATTAAACAGGCTGTAGCAACATATTCCATTCATGGCTTTTATTTAGTCACAGGTGTAAATATGTGCCATCTTTATACAGCTAATAGTTCAAGCATCCTTCTCCCATTTTTGTTATCTGGTAAGCAGAGAGATAACAGTAACACTGGCGTTGGGTGCATGGATGACACCATGCAGTGACCTCCGGTTGAATTAGTGCTGTGTCCACTTGTTCTTCAGCAGAAACCAAGCCACAACTTTAATTTATAGTATCATTAAATCGCTTAATGGAGAGAGGCAGGGACAGGAGACCATCATTTCTCTTGTTCACCCAAAAAGTTGGCCTGGACTTTATTGGCAGCTATTACAGGTAGATTATGTGTGGTGGTTCCTAGTTCCAACAGTTGCTCCCCAGCCTGCTGGGTAGTTACGTCTGCAACCTATGTTTCCAATGAAAGCCACCTCTATCTCCAGCATATATGAACCTTAACCTTCTTCCTTCTCATCTTCTAGCTGATGAAAAAGCTATGCACTAGAACACATTTATTTACCAAGGGAAAGTAAGAACATGGCCATTCTGGAAGATATTTTAAAAACCCCACCATCTTGGACTCAGGATGAGTGACTGGCTGATGCCTCGGGGTAACCATGAACCTGGGGTGTGAGAATCAACAAAGGCCAGAGCCGCTCTCTAAAATTTCTTGAGACATTAGTCCTATTCAGTCATTCTGATACCTGGAATCCTCAACATGGGTACAGGAGAAAGGCGAGCCCCAACCCTTCCTTGTCACTATGCTCATGTGAGCAGAGACATGTATGAAGAGGAGAAGGGTGCTACTTGGATGTAGACTGTACCCACACTTCCCTAGGTTCTTAAATGGGAGTCTGGAAAATATAGGTTCTTCTTTGCATGGAGAGAGTACTCATAAGCAGGAACCTCTTCTTTATAGAAACTTTGCTTTCCTTTTGTAGCAAGGGTGCTCCCCTTGAAGCTTGGTGAGTCTATTTGTGAAGGTAACACCCCAAATGGGATTTAGCTTGGATCGCTTAAGCTTCTCTTTTCGGAGACGTATATAACTACTATGAAACATCTAACTCTCAGTAGCCATGGAGGCCTCTTGTCAGTAACAGGTGATTGTAAATCCCACAATCACTACTCCCTACCCTAAATCTGACAGTTTAAAACTGGCAGCTGGTGTTCATCAAGGAAGGAATCAGCAAAAGCAAAATATATTAATTAACTCATTTCCTCTCATATTTGGACCATAGTTTCCCCTCCTCCCATTGGCCTTCTTTTCACAGGCTGGTAGGAGGCAAAGCCAAGAATGACATCATCAAGACTTCTTGGGTATTCTGAGAAAGAAATAAAGAGATCAGCTGTATCTCAGTACTATATATCATTGTGAGCTAATGAAAATCCCAGTCAATGGACTCAGTCATTTACATATTCAGAAAGCTAGTAATAAAGAGGAACAGAAGATGCAAACTAGAAGTGCCCTGAAAGATGCAAAATGAGTCCTATCTCCCTCCCAATGCTGTTACTTCTCTTTCCTCATCCATTCCCAAACCTTTTCAGACACATTCATTGAATTTATAGTGGTGCTGAAGTGAAAATGGGCTAACTGGTCAGATGATTAACATAGAAGCACATAATACCAGGGAAGGTGAATGCAGAAAACAAGGCATATACCATATGTTTTGCTCCTTAAGACACACTCCCCCCCAAAAAAGAGGGGGCGAATACTGTAAAAATGGTGCGGTTCTCCAGAGCCCATGCCACTGTCATACACGGCTGGGCTCTGTACTCATTAGTAGCGCTGGTACTACAGGGCATCTGTAGCAGCCCTGTACGACCAGCGCCGCTCACTGGATGGCCGGATCACGTGACCAGCCAGACGCCGGGTGAAGCAGAGAGAGAGAGAGGAGAGGAGAGCGCTGTGGAGGAAGAACAAAAGCTTCTGAAACCAATTACTGGTAAGTTTAATAGGCCTGAGACTGGCGAGGGGAAGATAAAGTTACGACCGAGAGCCTGCTTGATGGGGGCAAGGCGGCTAGAATAGCTGTCTGTAGTTCAGAGCTTAGCAGGAAGCTGCATCGCTTCCCAATAAATTAAGCCTAAATAGAAGTAATTTTGCAGATATTTAAAACATTAAAGGGACCGGAAGGGGAGTCTTATGGTGTGTCTTATGGTCAGGTGCGTCTTATGGAGCAAAAATACGGTAATCATTCAACAGTATGACTAGAAAATATTGTTGTACTCTTTTCTTCTCCCAAGTAACGTTGATTTTTTTTGTAATGATCAGGGGAAAGACAGGCCTTTGTAGAATTATTTAAATGGTGATGAGTGGTTTAGTATTACAGTAATATGTTCACAAACAGAACTAGAAATACAAAGATATAATACAGTAATAGAACTAATGAACATACTAGACTACAAAAGAGACTTTAGGTAGGGTTGTTTTAATAGAGAAAAGACTAGAAAGTTTAGACATATCATAGATATCATGAGGCTAGGAG